ATGACCAGCACAATTTGACCTTACCAATAAGCAGTACCTAAGTATTTACTTTTGCTATAAATGCATTTTTTATTTTTTGTGTATCTTTGAAATTTGTTGTTTAATGCATATTTGATGTATATGTGTATTTTAATATTTGTTGATTGAATACTTTAATATCTTAGGTTTAAGCTCCTAAAAAATAGGGACCATATCTATTAAAACAATTAGTTCAGTCCCAGCTTACTTGATAAGGGACAGGAAAAAATGAGCCTAAGGTCATCTCCCCTTGCTCTTGATTGTTCCAGAAAGCAGCCCATTTAAAATGGATACAGTGATCTAAAATAGGGCAAGGAAAAATATGTTTGCATCTTGTCTTTCCTTCCTCCTTTGCTCATGGCAGACACCACTAATTGATACCAGTGTTTTCCTGCTGAGCCCAGACACTGCATCAGAATGTTCAAGAAAACACTCTAGTTAGTCATTACCAATCTACTGGAATCTGCTGGAAACTGTTCGAATTAGAAAAATCTTTTTTAGCCAGCTGAGAACTTGGGACATTGGAAGGGAATCTCTGGATGTGAGCTATTTCAAGACTGCCCTGTCCTGGATTCATCCCTAATTGTCTGGATGTGAGCCATTCATTTTCAAAATTCTTCCTCAGAAATATTTTATACCCAAATATTAATTCCCAAACCCTTAGGTTTCAGAAATAAAATATCTTTATATTATTTTAAGTGACATAGGGTGGTTAAAAAGCTTGACAGTGAGTACTCTTTTGCCTAAATCTATCTCTTTAATTAGGTACTGCTGTACAAACAACATTGCACTAACTTTAATGGACATTTTTTTTTTAAGTTGAAAGTGCTCATAAACCCATCCCTCTAATAAATAAAAGTTTAAATTTTTACATTCCTTTACCAAAATTATTTACCAAATATGTCATTTTTTAAGGTTATAATCATAGCATATGCACAATTTACATTTTGCCTTGTTCAATACTGTCTTAAATACCCGCCTACAATTAATATCATGAGTACTTGAAGTTTCTACTTTAACTCTGGAGTTATTTTCTTGTAAAAAATTCAGCTTCAGCTTTGTTCTGGAAAGAAGTCTTAGTGAAAACCCAATCAAATGATGTTTGCCATCATCACCAGAACCCCTAGTGCTTTTCTGTGAGTGGGTGGGAGTTAAACATCTACATTCTGCACAAGGGTATCCAAGTTGATGACTTATGATATTGCAGTTATCGTACCGTGCCAGCAATGAGTGCTTCTGACAGAAAAGCAGACCAATCGGAAAGGAGGAAACCTTTGCTTACCTAAACATGTTTTTAATTATAATGTTAACAAAGATAAAGCAAAACCAGGGAAACACACAGTAATCACATAGGAGTCTAACGACGTAAACATCATTTTTTCTCAGATTCTATTTACTTACTCTAAATCTGTTGTCTTTTCCAAATATTGCATCTTTATCCTCTTTACTAGTATTTCTTTATGAAACCCCAGATTAAATGTGCTTTAACAGCCAAGTAATTATGTAGAGAAAAAATACCAAATATAAAATAAATCATGTTGGCATTTAAAGATTAAAATGAAGCCACAGCTTGATCAAAGAGATTCATTAGTTGATATTTGTTCATCATTATGAATATTTCAAATCTTATATAGTCAAAAGTGATCCATTACTGTTTTCTAGGAAGTGATAATATCTCCTCCAGTGTCATTAACAGTGTTAATCTTGGTCAAGGTTTCCTGCATTAAAAATTTATAAAAGCAAATGTTGCTATAGTAACTATTCTAGAGCAGTGTTTTCCAGCCCTTGTGATTCATGGACCGCACTTGCGTGATTATAAGCATAGCATCACAGGCAAGATGTTTTATACACACACACACACACACACACACACACAGAGATACATACCAGGGTACTTCAAAAAGTTCATGGAAAAAAAGGAATTAAAAGGTAATGCAAATCTTTCCATGAACTTTTTGAAGCATCCTTTTATATGCAAACATGCAATATGCTGTCCTCCTTTTTCACAGGGAAATTTTTCCTAAAACAAAAAACACTAAAACAGTCATAACTGCATGAAATGAGTTCCCCAAGGAGCAAAGTTTCCTATGCATTTACTTTTGAACACTCACATGCCTTTATCCAAGTAAATTAAATTATTTCTGCTACTCCCGTGAACACATGTGTGACAACTTTCTGCTTAGCTCTCATCCTTTCCTCTAGTGAATCAATGCATTCTTTGGGGATCTTTCAGTTGCAAGCAACAGAAGTGCTCTCCAGCTAGTATAGACAGGAAGGAAGCATTTACTGGAAGCGCAACCTGTGTTACACAGCCAGGAGAGGCTCAAACCAGGTGTCAGGAGCTCTCAAAGCCAAGTGCAGTCTCTCTCCCCAAGATCTCGTGCTTTCTCCTCATGTACACTTGCTTCTTCCTTCCCTCTCTCAGCAGACTGGCTCTTTGTGCACATGGGTAAAAACTGGCCACTTCCGAAGGCCCTCTCTGCCCCGAGTCTGCATGCTAATTCCAAGTTCTTAGACAGTCACTTTGGAGGTAGAAAGAAGGTGGCAATTTGCCTTTTGTTGTTGGAATGGGAAGTGGGTTCTCACTCAGGAAAGAGATGAAGGGAAGGCATGAATAGAAGAGATATTTTGGAAGTAAATATTTATGACACTTGCAGCACCTGAAGTCAGGAAGTGAAGTACACCTATGTGTTTTTTACCTATTTCATTTCTTTGTTTCTGCCCCAATACATCAAAATTAGCCAGTCTTTTTGACATCTATTGGGGGAAATAAATAGTTTTATCTATCTTGAATCCTATTGGGAAATAGGGAGGATACAAATTCTTAATGAAAAAATAAACAAATAAATATAGGTGGGTTTACTTCCTGGCACATCAGAGTGTTACTGAGGACAACAGCGAAGCCAAAGTTATTAACTCAGTCTGTGATGCTCACCTGGTCTCAGGGAGAGTTAAGAGTGGGAAGAAATGCAAAAGGCAGCCAAGCCCCTCACTCCCCTCTGAAGTGAGTGAAAAACAGAGCCAGAAGGAGGAGGCCAGAGAGGGAAGACCCAGCAGCACCACTGAGCCTGAAGGGCAACTTAGGGATCCTCTCTTACTGGTAGCTTGCTGGAAGCCTAGAGGGCCCAGGGAAATCAAATTTTTATTGTGTTCTCCAATTCTATGGCAAATCTGCTCATTTGGAAGATCAGATTCGGGTCTTGTAAAAGTGTTTGCCTGAATTTCTCATGGGTAAGGACAAGAGGCCACAAAGAGCAATTTCAGGCAGGAAAAGGAAGGGGGCGCTCCAGCTCTGTTTCCAGGAGTCCAGTCCTGACCTTCACCTCTGCTTTGCAGAGACTCAAAGTGAGTTTTGTATACGTACTAACAAATTGAACGAGTGGTGTGAAAGCCTAATAGTTCAGTCCTCATCACAGCCACTGTAGTTAGTTCTCTGGGTACTGGATGAGGAGCTAGCCTTGAGACAAGCTAACCAAGCCGTAAAAGTGGTTTTGTTGCCATCACACAGGCCCCCCCTTATGCTAGTGTTTCCTCTGCTCTTGACCCCTCTCTGCACTTCTTTCCAAAACCTTCAAGAAAGGACTATAGTTATTAGCAACTTAATATGAATAGATGTTATCTCTTCAAAGGATATTTCCATTTTAACCTTATCATTAGTTAAAGGTCTTCCATGGAAAATTTCTTTCCATGTTAAAGAAATTTTAAGGGGCCGGCCCCGTGGCGCACTGGAGAGTGTGCCGCTTAGGAGTGCAGCGGTGCTCCCGCCAAGGGTTCGGATCCCATGTGGAGACCGGTTCCCACTCACTGGCTGGTGGCGCACTGGAGAGTGTGCCGCTTAGGAGTGCAGCGGCGCTCCCGCCAAGGGTTCGGATCCCATGTGGAGACCGGTTCCCACTCACTGGCTGAGCACAGTGCGGGCACAACACCGAGGGTTGCGATCCCGTTGCCGGTCAGTAAAAAAAGACAAAAAGGAAAAAAAAAAGAAATTTTAAGGAGAGTATATTTAAGAATTTGTAATAATTTCTTCCTTTCTCAAATATTAGGTTCTTGTAAAATCAACTTAGTTCTGTCCTGGGTTGAGATTCAGCCAGTGCCCACGGGTTCTCTCTCTACTGCTACAATATTAGTTTACTTCTAAACTGGCTGGGCAATATCTGAGCCCACCTTCACCCTGTTTCAGTGCTCCCTGGTCCTCTCTGGGACTTCCTGGAGCTCCCTGTGACCCAAAAACTAAAGGGTCATCCTTGGTGCATTTGGGGCCTCCTGGGTCCCTCTGTTCCAAGTCTGTCATAAGCATCCAGTCTGATTGGTTGTGGCTAATGCCATTCTGGTGGTGAAATATTTTGAATATTCCCCCTGCTTCTATCTCTTTAATTGTACTTTTAACTGTTCACATTACAAATTAAGGCACATCCCCACCCCCACCCCCAATCTACAAACTGACACCTCTCCTGTAATCTATTTCCCCAGCTACCTTCGAATAACAAATGGAAAAAAACAAAACAAACCAAAAAAACCCTGCTGAATAATAAACTCTGGGAAAATATGGTTGGGGAAAAAAATATAATCAGACCTGGGATTCTTAAATTTTAATATAAGAAATCACCTTGAGAATATGATTAAAATACAAATTTCTAGGCTCCATCTTTAGAGATTCTGATTTCATAGATCTGGGGTGATTTAGGAGTCTGTATTTTTAACTTGGATCCAGGTAAATCTGATGTTGATGGTACTTACATCACACTTGAGAGCTACTGAGCTCAACTGTTGCTGTGAATTACGCACAGTTGCCTATGGGTAGAACATATTTATCACCAGGAGCTTAGTTTACCAGGATCTTACAGGCGTCCACCTTACTTCAATTCCTACAGCTTTAACTATAGATGATTATGATGCATATATTCCTGGCACATTTTCACTGAATGGTGCTCCAGTGTTCTTGGTGTTTTATAAATATACTCTTTTTTGTTTTGAAATTACAGAGTCTGTCATCCCAAGTAGTGGAACTTTTCATGTAAAGCTCCCTAAGAAGCACAATGTGGAACTTGGAATAACCATAAGTTGTAAGTAGAAGTTACATTTTTAAAATATGAAATTTTAAAAATATCAGAAAATTGTGTTGTCAAATGGTTTACAGGTGTGGCAAGTGTTTTAAGGGTCATTGCCAAGTTTCAATGTCAGGAAACCAAAATGTGGAGCCAGCCACACCTCCAGCACTTACTAACTGTGTGAATGGAGCAAGTTACTTAAACTCTCTCTGATCTTATGTTTCTTTATTTGCAAAATAGAAATAGGGATATCTGCAAAATATAGCATTGTTTTAAATATTAAGTAAAATAGCATATTTATGTACCTAGTATAGTTCCTAGCAAGTAATAAGTAAGTACTCAAGAAATATATGTCTCACACCCCCCATAAATAATTAGATGAACAGATAAATGCATATAGATTCTCTACATTTTAGTACTTTATGGATTGTTTTCATGATAATCTACTTAACAAAAATCACACATTTACTTTTAAGGCTATCTTCCCATCTGTACACTATGCATCTATAATCCATTTCACAAGACTAACACAATGTCTCTCACTTTAGTAAAATTCTGAATTCTTCCATGGTGCAGGGTGTCTGGGTAACTAAACCGAAAGGAAAAGCACAGCACATAAATGTGTTTAATCCCCTCCTTTCCTCAAGCTCTAGTGTATAACTGGTTTGGTAAAACAACTTTGAAAATTTCAGCCCCAAAAGACTTTTCTAGAATGGACAATGAGGTTTTTTTTTTTACTTTTAATATCCATAAACTAAGTTCATCCATAAATGCCCCAAGAAAATGAAGCAAATGACAAATGCATAAAGACCAAAGGAGATGTAGAGACAATGACTGTGACCAAGAGGTGGTCCCTTCTAGAAAGATTGACAAAGCTGCATAAAAGTACCTCAGTACACTCTGTTGATAGCATTTTCGTCGGTGGTTAAGGCAAAAAGAAATAAAAAGAGTTCCCAATTGGGTAGTGTGAAAGGGGGCTGTCCAATTCAACTTTGTTGCTGTAAGTTTAAAACTCAAAATGAAATTTTATTCTTAACCAATAAACCACACATCTACTGTAACACTAAAAAGAGTTATACTACAATTGAGAGTAAATGTTAAGAACAAGAAGCCATATGTATGTGAGAGAACCTATATCCCCTTTAATTCGATGTGGTCTATTGGGAGAAAAGTGGAAAGATGAAATGGGATTTTGGAGACTCCAACCCTGTTCTAGGTGTTACTAAAGTCATTTATGCCTTTAACTGGGTATAATTTATTAACCCAACTTATTAACGATGAAGCAAAAATAGTATGTCATTATTCTGTCAACAGCTGTGGTGACAGAAATTAAGGGAGAGCACAAAAGAATTTACTGTTCCAAAAATATCTGGGGCTCAAGGTGGCTTTTGCAACCCCTTCTCCTTCATTCTGTTTATTCCATTCATTTATTTCATCAGAACTGGCTGTGAAAGTGGTACGTCTTGGAGTAGTGTAGTACACACCTACCAGCTGTACGCAGAGGCCCTGCCTCCCTTCCATTCCTTCCTTCTTCTGCTTCACTCAGTAAATACATTCTGGGTGTGCACCATGCCCTGAACCCCATGCTGAGATTTAAGATCACACATTCTCTCCTTACAGATGTTTCCTGCTGGCGGGTATTCTGAGAACAGCTACTCCTCAGAAGCTTCTATCACCACTGCCAGTCATTTTACTCTCAAATTTTAATTTAGGAAAATGATCTTTTGGGGGTTGTTTTATACAATAGATGTAGTCTTAAAAATTAATATAAATAAAAATATAATTTATTCAGAAGAGTATCCATATAAAAAATAATCCTGAGATATATTTCTTTTTTAGAAGTAGATATTTATATGTTCAATTTGTTTGATGTAGCCATGTCCACACAGCTACAAAATATTTGTTTTATTTAAATAAAGAATCATTTAAAATTATACTTTATGATGGTGCTTCATATATTTTAAGCATTAGTTCTGAAACTGATTTTAATACCAATGATAGCTGCAACCTCCAAGCCCCCACAAGAATGGCTTGAATGCCAGCCAAGCAGAAGCAAGTGCTGTGCATGGAAGGTAGAAGTGTTATGCGATTCCTGGATGGAGAAATGATGCATAAGCTTGTCAAATATGCTTGTCAGTCCTTCTAGAGCTACAGCTCCATGTACCCAACTAATCTTCACCGTGCTGAGTTGGTGTTTCCTTGTGGAAAATACACGTATTTTGCCTGTTGAGAAAGCAGAATTTGCTTTAAAAAAAAGAGCCAGAGTCTATTTTCAATGTTATGAGATAGTAAACTCCTGAGGCACAGTTCCTGCCACATACAAGGTGCTTACTGAATACCTGTACTCACATGTGTGGAGTGAATGAATAAGAAGTAATTACCCAGAAACAATGTTCTACTAAGCACTGTGCACTCCAGGAAATGAGCCTTTCAGGGAGATGATGAACCTAGATGTTTGTGCAGAGGCTGATGCATGGATTGAAGAAGACTTGACTTTGAAAATGATTAAGAGCAAGGACTTAGAGCCCAGGCTGCCCCACTCACCAATTCCCTAGATTGCTCTGTCCCTAGTTCCCTCCACTATCAAATGGTGTACATATTTCCTTCTTCACAGCATTGTTGACAAAATTAAATGAGTTATTATCTGTAAAGTACCTAGAACACATTGTGAACCCCAGCAAATGTTAGTGACTTTGCTGATGATCATTATTTACAACACATAGAGCTTTGTAAAATATTTTAAGCATAGCACTCGGCCACAAAATCTAATGCCAACTACGGGCCGGCCCGGTGGCGCACTGGATAGTGCGCCGCTTGGGAAGCGCGGCGGCGCTCCCGTCCGAGGGTTCGGATCCC